CACACACACACACACACACACACACACACACACACACACACACACACACACACAGAGAGAGAGAGAGATGAACTTCATGTCCATTGAACGTCCTCCAGCAGCCATCCAGGGCATTCATACCTTTATTCTCATCTCCTTTGTCCTGTTTGTTGAAAGGGAAAATCGTGCTCACGTGGACACAGTCTAGAATAGCCAGCAGGATCTTTGTTAGTCTCAACAGGTCACTGAAGTTGTAGAAACCAAAATAAATCAGGTTCCTGGCCAGATTCACCACCTGAACAAGACAGATAAACATATTAAACTGATGTGCGACATGTGATGTGCTATGATGTGTGTTAATGTACAAACAGACTGTGTCTGACTGACCTCAAATGTGAGCTTGTTCTTTTCTTTATCTGCAAAGGGGAAGCTCTGACATACGACGTCTCTCAGGTAGTTCTCAACAAACTCCATCGTCTGTGAGAATCTCTCTTTAATTTCATCTTTAGATGTTCCATCATTGTCATAGCTGCAAAACAACAAAACAACCACAAATTCATCAACAACAAAATTTACTAAAGAGAAATATCCTTAAATGAAAATTGACTAAATCTGCTCACTCGTCAATGGCGATCTCTGAAGGGATCTCAGACCAGAGTCGTGCGTATTTGACAGGCGTGACCTGCTCCTGAGGGTCACGGTCTACGTGCATGTGCAGCATCATGCGACAGAAGGAGGCTCGCAGGTCATAGGGCAGGTCTTCGTCCGACATGCATCGTAAGATCAGGTCCACGTCCAGCTGGCCAGAGATCTTGTTGATGGCCAAATACTGACGGTCCAAACACATCCTTGCAAACAGGTTCAGCTGGTACCTGCAGTGGATATATGCACAGTCTTAGACTCACTTTAAAACTGGGAACTGATGATCACACAGTCATCATTGTCTGACTCTGCCGCAGCTCAACCTTAAGTCAGATAGTCCAGTGTCTACCTGTAGTAACTGATCACCTCCTGGTCCTCCTTCTGGCCCTCCTTGGCATCCTGGGCCAGCTCCCTGATGCTTTTACTGCGGATCTCTTTATTGCTGTCCTTCCAGAACAACCACACCTCCTCCTCATCTTCCTCCGACTCCACAGAGTTCTCCCCGAGAGGCACACCTTCGATCTCAAATCTGGACAGCACCAGTCTGCAGAGAGAGAGGGTAATGGAGACATATATTACAATTAGACATGTTTTTATTATGCTGGCGGAAATAACTGTGACAAATTTAACAAGAGCATTAGCATTGAATACAAAAACTTGCATTATTACTTGTTCAAAAGGATATTATGATATATACAATTTGTTACTAACTGGACATGTATAA